TCAGGCTCAGTAGTAGAGCACTCGCCTCACACGTGTGTGGCCCTAGTTTCGATTCTCAGCACCACTAAAAGTAAATAAATAAAATAAAGATTTTTTTTTTAAAAAAAAGAAGAATATTTTTTAAAAAGAAAGAAAGAAAGGACAAAAGTCCATTTTTTTTGAACGTGTGAAGTTAGCATAATGATCCCTGACTAACTATAACTATGAAAATAGCAAGCAACCAGAGGCACTTGATGCTCTTGCAAATTTCTGACCAATCAACCACTGTGTTAGTCAGCTTTTTGTTACTATGACCAAAACATCCAACAAGATCAATACAGGAGGAAAAGTTTATTTGGGCTCATGGTTTCAGAGGATCAGTCTATGGGCAACTGGTTCCATTGTTCTGGGCCTGAGATGAGGTAGAACATGATAGAAGAACGGCATGGCAGAGGAACTGCTCAGATCATGGCAGCTAGGAAGGAGAGAGAGAAAACAAGGAGCCAAAACCAAAATATAATCCCCAAGGGCACACCCCCCACCCCACCTCCAGTGACCTACTTCCTCTAGCCCTGCCTCATATACCTACAGTTACCATCCAGTAAACCATCTAAATTATTAATTCATCAAACGAATGAATTAGGTTACAGCTTTCATAATCTGGTTGTTTCACTTCTAAACATTCCTGCATTGCCTAACCCATGAGCTTTCTGGAGATACATATCCAAACCATAGTAACCACCTTATTATCATATACATGGTTCTAAAATATGGCCATGATAGGCAATTTTACTCTCACCTTTTTTGTTGTGAACATTAAATACATTCTCAATAATTATAAGGAAAAGTACCAAAAACAAAACCCGGCACTTGTCTTATTTAAACACCAAAAATAAGAACATAAAGTTTGTCAGACATTACTTAATTCATTTTCTTTTTTTTTATATTTATTTTTTAGTATTTGGCGGACACAACATCTTTGTTTGTATGTGGTGCTGAGGATCGAACCCGGGCCGCACGCATGCCAGGCGAGCGCACTACCGCTTGAGCCACATCCCCAGCCCCTACTTAATTCATTTTCATTGAGGTTTAATCATAACATTGTGAGCATCTCAAATATTTCTTGTAATATCGATTACACTTCAATTTTTTTTTCATAGCTTTCTTAAAAAAAACAGACTTTATTTTTAAGGGTTTTTTTTTTTTTCTTTTCTTTTAGGTTGGCAGCAAAATCGAAGGAAAGGTACAGAAATTTCCCACAGGTTCCTTGTCTCTTCCCTTGCCTAGACTCCTCCCTGATCAACATCCCTCACCAGAATGGAATATTTATTGCAAAAGTGTACATAAATATATATTATAAATTTGTTCAAGTTCATAGAATGCTCCATATATGTATGATATGTCAAAATACACTATACTGTCATGTATATCTAAAAAGAACAAATAAACAAACAAACTTAATAGAATGAACAATACAAAGCATCAACCCTAATGTGAACTATGAACTGTGGGTAATAACATGTTAATATAGGTTCATTGATTGTTCAGACAGTTTAAAACTGGTTCTAGATCGTAAAAGGGAAGTAAAATTGGCTCAGGCTCCTGTATTCTTTTATTGTATCAAAAAATACAATCTATAGGGCAAAGTATTGTTACAAGGTGATTAGCACAGTGTAGATATAGTAAGATGATATCATCGGGATAGAAAAGGGAAATAGTGGGGGAAGGAGGAAGAGTTATAGGAAGGATTCAAGAAGAAGGTGGAAAAAGTTGTCTTTTTTTCAGCATGACTAAGAGAACCAGATGAACAAGGCAGGTATGAGGTATGGCAAAGGTGAAGGAAATATTGCAAATGGAGAGGAAAGATATATATACATACCCGAAGGCATGGCAAAGTCTGGTGTACTTGGGAGTTGACAAAAGAAAAAATTCAGCTAAGAGAATGGGAGGGAATGTATCAAAACAATTAAATGGTAAGCAGGTGGTGAAAATAACCCACGGGAAGGAATTTGAAATTAATTCCCTCATGATTTCTTTTTTTGGTTTGTTTGTGGTGCTAGGGATTGAACCCAGGGCCTTGTGCATTCGAGGCAAGCACGCTACCAACTGAACAGTATCCCTGGCCCCTTCGATGATTTTTAAGGGAGGAATTGGTAACGGTTAATTTGGTGTATTTTAAAATAGAGAAAGGAAATAAATAAAAAAGGACATTGTAAAAATTAGTGAGCTAACTAAACTTTGGCAACAGAAATAGAGAAAATGTTTAGGGGATAAAAGAACAGGATACAGGGACATATTAAATGTTGAGAGTGAAGAAGCAGGAATCTTATGAGATGAACCCCTACTATGCTGCATTAAAGAAATATAATAGGGAAGATCAAATTAGTGGGGGAAATCTGTGAGTTCCAACTTTTCGAATATTGAGTTTGAGATGCTTCTGGGACAACCAGGGGGGGTTATTCTATTATCAGTTAGGTAAAGGGAAAGAAGCCTGTGGCCAGGAAAGAGATATGGGGGAGATGCTGATTTGTTAGTCATTGACATTCAGTTGGCAATGCAGGTTAACAGGATTGGAAAAGACAGCCTAGGGGGAAAATGTAAACGGAATAGAAGTGAATCATTCTCATTACTTAATAGCTGAGTAATCAAATGGGATTCTCTGATCTGTCTACTGATTGTAATAAAAGAAAAAAAAATATAGGGGGTGTGGCTCAGTGAGAGAGAACATGCATGAGAAGCTCAGGATTTGATTCCAGCATCACAAGAAGAAAAGGAAGGAAAAAAAAAACAGGGCTGAATTGAATTGCATCCAAAAGACAAGGTGGTCTTTTGAGTGTCTTCTAGCAGAGTGGAAAAGCAGTTTCCTGGTCTTCTTTCCCCTTGAGTTTTTCCTAGTCTTTCTAGCCCCTTGCCTTTAAGGTTTGTACCTGATCTACTGGCCCCTCATAACTGGTCTCTCTGCTTCTGATAAGCCTCTTTCTAATCCACCCCACACATTATTTTCCAGTCTTTATAAACACTATTTATTTATCTATATATTTATTTATTTATGTATCTTTTTTGGTACTAGAGATTGAACCCAGGGGCACTTAACCACTGAGCCATCTCCCCAGCCCATTTTACTGCAATAAACACTATTTAATTTCCTATCATCTTACTCCCTCTGCCCTCCACCCAGCCATATACACATTTCTCAAAAATATTCAGTCAATAAATTGCAGGCATTTTACAGAATGGACAGTGCTTTCTTTGGGGGATAGATAAATCAGGGTTTGAGCATCAGTTCCTTTAACAAGTATTATTTTGGACCATGTGGAACTCCTACTCTTATAAGTTGAAAGTGATTGAACATCAGAAGTTTCATATGGTTCAACCTGATAACTTTGGGAGCCCACATGCAAGTCAAATAAACCTCTCAGAAATTAACTCCAAAGACATCATATGTCCCCTAGCAAAAGATGGCTTTAGCCCATCTGGTTAGCAATTTCTTTTTCCTTGGGAAGAAATCAGAAATATGAAAAGAAAAATTCCTTCTCTTTGGGTTAAGATAGAAATGTCAATAGAGGAAAGAATTTGGGGCCCAGCAAATGTCATCAGGTAGATTCATTTGAGTAAGATTTCTTGTTCAGGCCTGGAGATAGAGAAGTTTTCTGATTGTCATTTTCCCATGGTCTACTACCAGTTATTTCCTTGGTCTTTTCTGAGAAAAGTATTATTTCTTTAGAAGTGTTAATATTATTTATTGGGCTGTGTAAATTCTTACTCAAGTCCCAGAACCACTCTCTTTCTTCTAAATAATTTTGTCTGCTTCTTATTGTGGATTTCATAATTTAACTCTCAGAAGCCAAACTCATAAAGATGATTCATTATGCTTTCATGTTTAATTTATGATTTATATTAATGGTTGGTGAACATTTTTAAAGCAGGAATTTGGTCATTGAGACAGAAGTTGAGAGAGAGAACATAGAATATCATCAATCAAAAGGAAAGAAGAGTAGCTCTAGGTACAGCAGGAGCAGGAATGGGGACATCAAGAGCCCCAAGACCTGCACCTTTTGCCCTACAATGTTCCCAGGGATCCACAGAATACATTATGCATTTCATGGTAATATCTGAGAATCTTCCAGCTTGATTGACTGTGGGAGACCAACCTTACACGTGACTGAGTCACACTCCCTGGCTGGGTGCTGAGGCGCTCAGTCACAGAAATGTGGCAGAGCTTTCCCCACCCTTCTTGGGTTTGAGGGTCAGTGTCTCGTGCATGGGTGTGTCTTGCTACAGCCCCATGGGTGAAGCTATGCTCACTCACCTGTTCCTTTGTAATATAACCCCTTGCCCTGTTTAGGATAGAATCTTCCATGGAAGTGCCTTGTGTGTGTCCCCTTCTCTTACTGTGCCCTTGGGTGTGGCCTACCCAGGTGTCAGTCAACCTGCTGACAGTGGACATCATGGAGATGTCAGCCCCCTGAAACCTGGCCCCTTGCCTCATTTGAATAGCTTCTCCTCAATAAAAGGGGTCAGTACGTGCTCTCGCTCTCTCTCTTCCTGTGTACCCTTAAGGTCAGAGGAGCCGTCACAGAGACCCCAAAGAAAAAGGTATTTGTGTCTCTTGTGTGGTTATTTTGTGCAGCCCAATTAGCCCAATGTAACTGGAATGACCCCTGAACCTTTTAATCACGAACAGAAACCCAGCAATTGACTTTCTTTCTTTCTTTTTTTTAAAAAATATTTTTTCTAGTTGTAGATGGACACAATATTTTTATGTATTTATTTTTTGTGGTGTTGAGGATCAAACACAGTGCCCTACACATACGAGATAGGTGTTCTACCACTGAGCTGCAACCCCAGTCCCCAGCTCGATTGACTTTCCCAGGTATATGCGTGTGTGTGTGTGTGTGTGTGTGTGTGTGTGTGTTCATCTGTGGTCTCCTTAGTCCCAATTCAGAAACCAGTAAGCAGAATCCATTGATAGAGCAAAACCCCTTTCCAATGACACCTTAAAAATGGTATGGTAACAACAGAGAGTGTGCACCCCACATCTCTTGTAACTCTTCTGTCCCTACTAAAAAGACAGTCTCAAATTTGAACACTCTAAAGGACCGTCATCCACCCTGTGACTCCTGGGCCCGAATGCACATTGCATCCTTGCAGTATGCAGCAGGAGACATTACCCGAAAAGGAAGAAAAAAAGACAAAGCTGGAGTGAGTGAACTGCTCCAAGGTCTTGCATTTTCTGATGACTCAGAAGTGGAGGAAGATGAGCCTGAGGCTCAGCCTCAAAAGAAGCTAAAGGTGTCAAGTGTCCCAGAAAAAAGTTGGACCAAAAGAGACATTAAGCCGAACTTTCCCAGCTGGTCAGCACTGGATTCTGGACTTTTAAATCTCAAGAGTGAAAAGTTGAACCCAGTAGAACTCTTTGAATTGTTTTTTGATGATGAAACATTCAACTTGATTGTCAATGAAACCATTAATTATGCTTCTCAGAAAAATGTTAACTTAGAAGTCACAGTTCAGGAAATGAGGTGTGTATTTGGTGTCCTGCTATGGAGTGGATTTGTAAGGCGTCCCAGAAGGGGGATGTACTGGGAAATCTCTGATGCTGATCAGAACCTGGTTCGAGATGCAATTAGAAGGGACAGATTTGAGTTGATTTTCTCATACCTGCATTTTGCAGATAATAGCCACCTAGATCAAAAAGATAAATTTTCAAAATTGAGACCTCTCATAAAGCAAATGAATAAAAATTTCCTCTTGTATGCTCCCCTAGAAGAATAAAAAAAAATGTTATGGTAAGTTGTAGAGTTGTTAATGATTGAAAACTTAATGGCTTTAAAGGTCAGAAAAACAGGGCATTAATTAATTTAGAAATCTGTATGTAGATACTGTTCACTTTTCATGCTTCTGTTCACAGATGCAGGAATTTAGAAGTACAAGTTGAATAACCCTTACCAAAATGCTTGGGACCAGAAGTATTTTGATTGCAAATACTTTTTTAAATTTTTGAATATTTGTATATATGTATAATGAGATAATTTGGAGATGGCACCCAAGTCTACACACAAAATTCATTTGTGTTTCATATATACCTTATTTACATAGCCTGAAGGTAGTTTTATATAATATTTTTAGTATTTCTACATTCTGACTATAGTATAAGGTCAGGTGTGGAATTTTTCACTTGTGATATAATGTTAGTGAACAAAAGTCTCCGATTTTTGGAGCATTTCAGATTTCAGATTTTTGGACCAAGGATGCTCAGACTGTAGTTTAGAACAACAAAAGTTTGTTTTTTATTCCTTGTCCAATGCCAGATTGGTAGGCATCTTTCGTTATTGTCACTTAGGAACACAGACTGATGGGGGAATTATCCAGATAATATTTTATTATCGCTGGCATAGCAAAAGCAAAGGTGACTTATCATGCTCTAATGTAGAATCTTTGCTCAAATTTCACTGGCCACAGTAAGAGCTCTGGCATGTCCAGGTTTAAGAGAGAAGTGAAAAGTTACCCTACAGTATATCACAAAAGAGGACAGTGAGAAATAATAATACATTATTGCCTTTCATTTTATGAGTTCATTTTCTGAGAGATTCACCATTTCTGAGTTCCCATGAGGATGATTACCTGTCTTATTTCTTTACCAAGAAAGAGCCTATTCCTTTCTTAGGAATAAGTGACTGTATCCAACTTTCAAATTTTGATATGGTTCATAAGGATCCTCATCAAATATTATTTAGGTTAATATATTGGTTCTGTTATTGATATTCTGCAATCCTCTTTTGAGCTATAATATTTTAACACAAACCTTCCAAACTTGGGAAATCAATCCTTTAGCTTCAGGCAACAATCAGTATAAAAACACACTACCATAATCTTGAGGGAGATGATACACTCACTATTGGTTTCTAAGTAATTGAATCAATAAGATTTAAAACATCAGTGTTATTGTGCCTGTTTTCTAGCACTCACAACATGCAGCTGTCCTCTCTGTGAAAGCCATCCCTGGCCCTCCAGCTCTCCCCATAGGACATGACGCGGACGCCTATTGGCACTTGCTTCACTGACCCACACTTATCTGCACGCCTTTCTGCCTCGTTAAGCTGTAAGCTCATTCATTCAACAAATATTTACTTTTAATTTGCTTTATACTTGTAGTCCTGCTTTTAACACAGGGCCTAACACAGATGAGAGATCATTGATATACATGAATTAATGAATAAATTGAATACACTTATTGTTGTTCTTATTTTTATAGTAGCAGCTAGGATTCTTGACTAATTCACTGAGAAATTTTCATTTTCTGGGGTTTGTTCTAAATGTTTTAAATATATTATCCCTCTAATCCTCATAATATTCCTAGGAGATTGGTATTATCCTTAACAGATAACTCCACTACATGGCTGATGTTCTATTTGCAATTAACTGATATTTGCTATAGGTTTGCGTCCCTCCCATCAAATTCATATGACTGAATCCCCAGGACTTCAGAATATGACTTCATTTGCTGGGAGCCATTAGCCAAGTAGGTATGACAATTTCCTTGCCAGCG